GCACAGGATAGAGCAGGGTTTAGGGCTGTTGTACATAGGGTCGCTATGAGTCGCAAATGACTCGACGGCACATAACAACAACAACAACAGGAACATACTTAGAGAATGAGAGATGAAGCTTAATACTCTTAACTCCAAGGAGCAGTCTGGCTGCACCTTCTCCAAGACATATCTGTTTGTGCTTTTGGCAGTCCATTCAATATACAACATATATACTCTTATCCAACACTACATTCAAAGACATCAATTCTTCTTCTGTCAATCTTATTCACTGTTCAGTTCTCAGCAGCACAGCAAGTGACTGAAAAGACCATGGCCTGAATCAGATGCACATTGGTCTTCAAACTAACTTCACTGCACCTCAATAATTTGAAGAAGTCCCCGACTATAGACTTTCCCATGACAATACATCTCCTGATTTCTTAATTGCTAGTACCAAGTGTATGGATTGTGAATCCAAGATCAAGTTGTTGATAGTAAAAATATCTTCTCCATCTGTCATGACGTTGCCTATAGGATCAATGGTAAAAATTTTTGTTTTCTTCACATTGAGACAGAATGCGTATTGAAAGCTGTAGTCTTTGGTCTTCTGCACCAACATCCTCACGTACTCAATTTTAACAAGCAAAGTTGTGTCATCTGCATTATGAAGGTTACTGACGAGTCTTTCTCCAACCCTGATGCCACTTAACTCGTTTTAAGAGTTTAATTTCTCATAGTTTGTTCAGCATAGAGATTGAATCAGTATGGAGAAAGGACCCAAACTTGATGAACACCTTTGCTAATTTTCAGCCATTCCGTGTTCCCTTGCTCTGTTCATTCAACTTCCTCTTGGTCTAGGTATGTTTCACATGAGCAAAATTAAGTGTTCCGGGATTTCCATTCTTTTCAATGTTGGCCGTAATTTCTTCAGCCAGGGTAAGCATCATCAAATACTTTAATGCTAAGTACTGCCTGGCATCCAAGAGGCCAAAGATCCATAAGTGCATGTACTCATATATGTCAGAGTAGCCCCAAATCACCCTGAAGCTTAGCCTCTTCTTGTTCTATAAAAAAGACACTCATAAGTTGCTGACATTCTGCTTACTCCAGAAATAAAGTAATTCTCTCAAGGACTTTATTAATTTAAGTATGGGAGGCTATTAATACTGTGGGAGCAAAGTCCTGCTAGTACCTTCGGACAGGGAAACAATTTCTATATAGCCAGGTGATCAAGTTCTTCAGAAAAAGTGGAAAAGGAGTCCCCTAAAACACCGAAATGACATACACTGTACCCTTTAGGACTATTTCAGGAATTTCCATGGCCTAAGATTTAGAAGAATTCCTTGTTTATTGTTCTCCAAGTCATAGGTGGTGCTGATGTATCCCTTCATGTCTCCCCTTGGAAAGTAACTGCCTAATTATCCCCCTTCTTGGCTTGCACAGAAAAATCTGGACTCTTGTTTTGCTACTCTTCTTTAACAAGAGGATGAACTTTGTGAGGGGATTGGCCAGTTTTACCATTATGCCAGATTGAAATAAATCAGGTTAAGCAACAGACATTTTGAGACTCTCACTACCATCAAAGCAGCAGCTATACACAATAGAGTGTGTCCTTTGGGACCAAAGATTTCTGCACCAGGACAATGGAAGCTCCAACAGATTACCAGAGACCAAATGTGAGACACCGCTTACCTGGGATGTCTGCCCCATGTAGCCAGAGTCAGGGGCCTATGTCCAAGATTGTGGAAGCTAGGGATGGAGTACTAACAAATAATCAGCAGCACTGAGAGTTTTTTAGCACTGGCCTAAAGCTGTAAGGCTGAAGGGCCTGCAAGCACATTTTACAAGTTGACATGGCTGAGAAATTATTTAAGCCAAACATGATCTGGAACTCGTTAACATTCCTTGCTAAACCCATAATTGTATGATTCTGTGAACTGTATGTAGCTATTGCAATGGACTTCAAACCCTGAAGAACAGGATTGGTGTTTGAATTAGAAACAGGTGCATGGAACACATGTCAGACCTTATGGGAATTTGTTTTGTGTTGTGGATATTCTTGATAGGACATTTACCTAATTTTTTAGTTAATCAAGGTCAGAAAGGGCTGTCTGCTGCCATGCTGACCTCATTCTTTGCACTACCCACATTTAAGGGATCTTAGTGACCACATTTAGGGAGGAGTCTGACTACTGCCTCACCAGGGAGCTCAATGCCCATTTCTAGTCTTCTGTGTGAAAACACATGTGAATCAACAGTTCAGACACAGGTGAGATGAGGAGTAAATCTACTGAGTTTATTTGAAGAAAGGATACATCAATTTCACATTGTACCCACATGTATAAGAGCACAGGAGTGCCCTAGTTCTCTATATCTGCTTGTATTTCTTATCAGCAAAATATACTCTGCAATCCTACTTATAAACGGCTGAGCTGATGTTATTCCTGTAAACAGTAATTACAGCTGCTCTGTTATAAGACATGAAGCAAACATTAAGTTCATTCCAAGAGTACAATCTTAATTCCAAGTTCAAAAACAATTGTAGATTCTCCTTTTTTCAATCCATGAAAATAGATACAGATTAAATTCTCCAGGTGATTAAAAAAACTCAGTATCTGTCAGTACGGAAAGACAGACAAAGGGCTAAGAGAATCTGGCTATGGAGAAGACTTACTCCTCAAATGGGATCTCTATCAAAACTTCAGCTCCTGTTGATACTTTTACCAAAGAAGGAAGATTTATAAGGTTTATCTATTATATGGATTCTCCGATGTCTAATAAAGTTAGATTTAGCAAACTCTTTACACAGACAGGACACATTATAGCATTTCTCCCCTGTGCAGACCTGGTGGTATCTAAAAAAGTTTGAGCTGTCAACAAAATGTTTCTCAGAGAGGATACTTATACAGTTTTTCTCCTATGTTTGCTTGCTTGTGTTTATTAAAAATGTACCTTTGAATGAAACTCCTTCCACAGAAAGACTTCCACGGTTTCTCTCTCATTTGGACCTGTACATGTTTATTAAAGTTGAACTTTTGAATGAAACTCTTTCCAGAAGAGGACATTTATGGGATTTCTCTCCTTTCCGGACTTGCTTTTTACAGAGGGGACATTTAAAGCATTCCTTACCTGTGTGGGCCCACTGGTGCCTACTAAAGTGAGCAATCTAATAGAATCTACTTTCCTACAGCAAGAATATTTATAATATGGACCCTCTGATGTCTAACAAAGTTACTAATGAATTCTTTTCAAGGAGGGGACATTTATACAGCTTCTCTCCTGTGTGGACTAGTGGTCTCTAAAAATGCTTGAGTTGTCAATTAGACTTTTCTGAGAGGAGTTTTAGAGGGTTTCTCACCTGTGTGAACCTGTTGGTGCTTTTCAAAGTTGGACCTATGATTGGAACTCTTTTCACAGAGAGGATATTTGTAGGGTATCTCTCCTGTGTGGAGCCGCTGGTGTCTATTAAAGTTGGACCTGCGATTGAAACTCTTATCACAGAGAGAACATTTATAGAGTTTCTCTCCTGTGTGGAGTCGCTGGTGTATATTTAAGAAAGACCTCTTGCTGAAACTCTTTTCACAGAAAGAACAATTATAGGGTTTCTCTACTGAGTGGACCCGCTGGTGTATATTTAAGTCAGACCTCTTGCTGAAACTCTTTTCACAGAAAGAACAATTATAGGGTTTCTCTCCTTTGTGGACCGGCAGGTGTTTATTTAAGTCAGACTTCTTGCTGAAACTCTTTTCACAGAAAGAACATTTATAGGGTCTCTCTCCTGTGTGGACCTGCTGGTGTCTATTAAAGTTGGACCTGCGATTAAAACTTCTTTCACAGAGAGAACATTTATAGAGTTTCTCTCCTGTGTGGACCCGCTGGTGTATATTTAAGTCAGACCTCTTGTTGAAACTTTTTTGACAGAAAGAACATTTATGGGGTTTCTCTCCTGTGTGGATCTGCTGGTGTCTAGTAAAGCTGGACTTGCAATTGAAACTTCTATCACAGAGAAAACATTTATAGGGTTTTTCTCCTGTGTGGACCCGCTGGTGTATAATTAAGGAGGACTTCTTGGTGAAACTCTTTTCACAGAAAGAACATTTATAGGGCTTCTCTCCTGTGTGGACTTGCTGGTGTTTATTAAAGTTGGACCTGTGATTGAAACTCTTTTCACAGACAGTACATTTACAGGGTTTCTCTTCTGTGTGGATTTTCTCTTGGTTGAGCAATCTAGAAAGGAGCCTGAAGCTTTTCCCACAGTGATCACACTTGCAAGGTTTCCCTCCTGTGTGGATTTTCTGATGCTTTAAAAAGTTTGAACTCTGAAGAAAGGTTTTCTTACATGTTGGGCACTGAAAAGATGTCTTCCTTGTATGATTTCTCTGATGAAACAAGAGTTGAGAATTTCTACAGAAGGTTTTCCCACACTCTCTGCAGGTGAAAAGTTTCTGGGTCACTGAAGGTCTCAGTTGGTCTTTTGGGGGGTTCTGGACCAAAAGCCCAGACAGATCTTGTGGGTGAGAATCAGGCAAATGCTGGTCTAGCTGTTTCCCAGAAACCATTTCCTGAGGAGAGAGCTGGTTCCCTCTCTCCTCACCTTGGAGATGTCCCTGTACCTTAGAGAGATCACCTCCTTCTCCAAAGCCTATTTGTTCATTCTCATGAAAGATGCCACTCAAAGAACCCTGAGGAGGAGCCTCTCCTGAGATGTGACCAGGGGCTTCTGGAGGCTCCTGGTCCCAGCAGGTTTCCAACTTTATATTCTCTTGGCCATTCACTTCTCTGTCTGTTAAAGGAAGGAAAAAGATCTGAAATATTGCAGTAAATTTTACAAGCTGTTTTCCCTTTCATATACTAAGAGCATGATAAAAACATGGACTCTTCTTACCAAGAGGACATTAAGAGCAAAGAGGTAAAAACCGTTAACCCATACTAAAGTCCAGGCACTATATTCACTTTCTCTGCATTCCAAATTAGGTTTTCTGCTCTTGAGGAAAAGAGAATCTCTGAGAATCAAAGCAGGGACCATAGGAACTTTAATGAACCTCCAAAATTAAACAGTATAGATATATTATGATGTAGAGAGGGGAAAAAATTATATTCTTCAATATACTGATTTTGCTCTTATTAAATGACTGGTATTATTTGGTTATATATTACAGAGAAATAGTATAAAACAATTTTTGAAGAGGCACAAAAATATGCAGAAGATAATAAAGATCTCCCTCAATCACATCCTCAGGTATAACTACTACTAACATTGCTTCCTGTCTTTTTTAAAGGACCACAACTGTTCTTTTCTCCCTCATAACTCAACTGTACTGCAAATACACAATGTAAATATGCCATTCATACAGTTGTACAGCCTTTCTTTCATTCACATATAATCAATCAAATGTCATAATTTGTCGTTTTACAATCGGGAAGCTTTATTATGGTGATGGTATTGCAAAAAGGTGACTTGTTTGGGGGTGTGCTTTAATCCAGCATGTATATCCATTATTATCTCCCAGAAAACATGAAATATATTTCTTTTTTAAATTTTTTAATTTTATTTTATTATTTTTGTGTGCGTGTACCGTCAAATCAGATCTGACTGGTACAGGAGGAGATTGCCCCTCCTTCCCCGGCAAAGCATCTGGTGGATTCGAACCGTGCACCTCTGGGATTGTAGTTGCAGCTTCTTGCCACAAGGCCACCAGAGCTCCCCATGAAATATATTTCTATCCTAACTCTGCTTTTGATTAGTATCACTACACAATAATGCACACTTTAGATTTGTTTTCATGGTATGACGCCTTGTCAGACCTTAGTAGATTCTTTTACACCTAGAGATCTTTTTTTTTTTTACACCTAGAGATCTAAAGAAGCTATTTACCATTCTTTTCCATGTATCAGTGTCTTTGAAGGCTAACTTTACTTACTCAAGAAGTAGGCCTAAACTTGCTAATCCAAACATTTATTTTAAATAGCAAAGGTGTTTTCTCTTGCCTTAAAAGAGTGTTTATAGAGAGATCCAAGATGGCGGCGGAGGCAGAGACAGCATGGTGAGATGCGGGAGCAGCGAACCACTTAAAGCAGGGCCATTATGGCCTTCCACAGACTTCGGCTTATTGATAATTGAACACTTAAACAGTTGATGACTGGCCCTCAGTGAAGATCGAGGCTCAACAACAGGAATTCAAGGATTCCC